TTCTTTTTCTCGTCCGTCTTCTAATGGCATTCGTTGCTGGCAGAAAATTGAGAGGCGGGAGAAAATTAGAAAATTAGCGCCCATCCCATAGAATAATAGAACCAACCGATTGATTATGCTGGAAAATAGAAGGAAATGTAATCCTCTCGAATGGCTCTTGGGAGTAAAGAAAGGGAGGAGAAGAGAGTAAGAACAAAAAATGTTTTTCTACATTTTTTAAAGCCAATTTTCTAGAAGTTGGAGCTTCTTCAAAAAGAAAACTAGAGAAAACCAATTATGGCAGGTGCATGCATTTCTTGGAAATTGCTGATCGGTGGTGTTTCAGGCCTCTCCGTGTTTTCCGATGCCATGGTTCGGTGATCCTCTGGTAGTAAAAAAAGAAAACGTCATAGGAGAACAATTCTTTTTTCAATCCAATATTTTTTATTACATGTACCTCTTTCTCTTTGCCGTCTGTTCTCCTATTTTTTGCCAGTATTCCGATTTTTTTTTTCAGAATTTGCACTCTCAATTTGGGAAAGAAGAATCTACCACACTACTTTTCAACAACAAATTTACATAATCCATTTGGCGGCACAGCGAATCATGGAAGAATTCGACGAAAATAGCCGAAAGTCGTTGAAGGTGAGTTGTTAGTTCCGTTAGGTTTTTATGGAGACGAGTGCTTTTTCCTTTTTTTCCGAATTTCAAATTCAAATCCGCATTTCAAAACCTAAGCTCCTCCCATTTTTCCCAAATTTCGAACGCCCCCAAAGAACTACTCCTGACGAAATCAAAAAATTCGTGGAAATTCCAAAAAAAAAGCGAATAAAGTGAACGCTGTGAAATTCGAGAAAGAATTTCAAAGAGACCCCATGTGCTGAGTCTCTCTAATTTTGGCAGTCTCTATCACCTATCCACTGGAAAAAAATAGAAATTCTCTGCGCCCCCCCCCCCCCCAACAATTCTAATTGGCATTTTGAAATTGGACTGGCTAGAAAAAAAGGTCGAATTTCTTCCTTATTCGCTTTCTTCCTTTTGCCTTCTTCTATTGATTCCCTGATTTTTTGATATAGGCATGCCTAAAACCTACCGGAATCATCTTTGGAAGGTGAGTTCAATGGAAAACCAAGACAGGTGAAAATTTGATTTTAGGTTTGGGAACTGGGTTAATATTGTCACTTTGGTTGTTGACATAACTCCGATGTGGGAAGGAAAAAAAGTATGAAGACAAAACTGTCTCAGCGTTTGTGAAACGGTTCTTGGTTTATTGAATTGGATCACTTCTATGTCTCTATGCTCCTAGCAAAGTTTTTGTCTAATTTGTTGTTGAAACATCTTGAAATGTTTCTTAAAGTTGTCTGAAAATAGTGTTTTCCTCATTCTTTGTTGAATACAAACAAAATTTAACACACGTTAAAGGTGGGGGACAGGAGATTTTACGGGGGATTTTTGGGGCCAGAGTATGCATTCTACCGTGACGGTGTACAACGCTAAATGACACTCTGCGTACAGCTGTCGTCCTCGCCTTTATGTATGCAATCGGGCGACCGCTTTCTCTTTGCCCGTGTAGCTCAGTCGGTAGCGGCGCCGCACCTTCAATCCTCGTCCCACACGTTCAACTCCTCGAGAGGCATATTTAAACGAAATTTCGAGAACACTATTTTTTTCATGTCCCCCCACCTTTAAATAAAATTCGATTTTGTAGGTTAATGAACCATTAGTAATCTTGATTCTCATCTCGTGTTCTAGTTTGTCAGTTTTGTGTTCTTCAGAATGAATCGAAATTTTGAAAAAATAGAATCAGAAAACTCCTAATTACCTAATTTGGATTTTTTCATGGTTGGCAATAATTTCTTGTCCGCCGAACATCAACCTTGCGGTTAAAATGTTTTTTAATGCTCATCGTATGTTCAGCAGTAAAATCGTCGTGTTGAATTGTTAAATTCCATGCGCCTTTAAACTTTCTGAATAGTAAAAATTATTTCGTGCAGTTTTCTACAAATTTTATAGCGCCTTGAGTAGTTTTCACTGCTGCTATTTATATTTTTGCTATTGTATTTTTTGAAAACGATTGAACTACCCGCAAAATCAAGAAAAGTGGGCTTACAGCAAAAATTTCGAAAAATCTAGAAACCCTTGTTTTATCAGGCGCATGAATAATGTTTTAGGTCAGCTATCAAAGTTTTTCAACTGAAAATTTTCATATACCGTATTTCCTGTGATAGAAGCTCACCCAGATCGTCAGCTTTGAGCTCAAGCTCATCCTCCTAAACGGTACAAAAATATCTCACAATTCTAAATCATCGCTTGTTGTTTTTGAAAAAACAAAAACAAATAAACAAAAAACTCTGGAAGAGCATGATGACACGATTATCATAAACTGTGTTTTTTCCCCGATCGATGTTTGATTTATTTTTCTCCTGAACTATTTCTCTCATTCCCAGTATCAACAGTCATGGATTCTATCAGCCTTCGACTGCTGGAACTACTCCTGCGCCCAATCCTAATACTCAAAAAATTCGCTAATGAGGTTAGTCTGGAAAGAAAGTGTTCCTCTAAAATTTATTTCCTCTTTTTCTTCTTTCTGTGTTGCTTTTTTCTCTCGAATAGCCTGGGGGCACGACACTATAGTTTTATGTGCCACATATATTTTGGCTCTTTTTTATTTTTTGGAACAATCCTAAGGCAAATGTGTATCAAGAGACGTACATAGTTATCACACTCTGGAGAAATGGAACACACACTACATACTGACACTCTAGCAAAGCAGCTCATCTTTGTCGGTTTATATTTTTCGTGTTCTGCCATATATGTCAAGTTTCAAAAGGGAAGCTTACCACCAATGTTCACTGCGTGGGACTTGTGCCCATAAATCGACCTTTTGAATAACTTTCAATCAAAAATTCATACTTTTTTCGGGGGAAAAAAACCCTTTGAGCTTTTTTTCCCGTTTAGGAAGCAGTTTTCAGAGAAATATATTTTTTGTTTTTTGTGTAAAAAATCTCTTGATCTTGATTTTTGTAATTCCGTTGGCTACAACCATTTTCCGATTGACACTAATGATTCTCTAAATGTATGATTACTGAATTCCAGATTTAATGGGTTGGAATTTTAAAAAATAAATTATATTCGAAAATAAGTTCCAAAGAAACATGATTTGATCGAAATGTGTTTTCAAAAATGAAATGAAAAATTTCATTTTTGTAATTTTATTGTAATTTTTTAATCGAATTTCACTCGAATTGAACTATTGAGTGTGTTTTTGGGATATATCTTATTTGTGCAAACTTTTCAAATGAAAATTTAAACCTTCAGTACTAATAATGGGTATAATAATGAATCGTTTTTCTATTCAAACTGAATTTTTTTGATAACTTACTGTAGCCTATCAAAAAAGTTGGTTGCCGTAACACCTGTAATAAAAGGGCTCCCTTGCTTTTAACCTTGAGCCAATTTATCTTGATTCCTGTCAAAGATATAAAAAAGTTGTCAACCAATAAATTTTTATTATAGTATGTATCACAAAAATTTTATCTGTTGGCACTGTTTTGATATCATCTACAGGAAATGAGGTATATGAGCTCATAGTTGACAGTTTGACGGCTATTCAAGTCTCTCGGTAACTTGTTATCTGGAAAAAAAAATCATAACTTATTACTACTAACTTTCGTTCAAAAAATCTCTGGTCGTAATTTTAAAGAACCTCCATTTTTTCCCAATTTTTTTTCTAACCAGCAGCTGTACCTTGCTTTCTTTAAAAATACATTTCTTGAGATTTTTCCAATCAAAAAATGTAAATAGCATATCCGGCTTCCAAAAATTAATGAGGTTTTGCAGAAACTGCACGAGTCATATCCTCAAAAGACTTCAAGCCCATTTCCCAGCTCCCGCTGACCCTCATTTTTCACTTCACTAGGTACATTTGCATTTGCATTTTCTCAACCAACCCAAATCTCCCTTAGCCGCCTTCCGACTATTCTCTTATAAACAACTCCTTCTTCTTCCCGAGAAATTTTCACTTCTAGGTCCCATTCTTGTTTTCTTCAAAAACTTTTTTTTCTTTTTCATCGGCGCCGAACCGTAGAAGTACATCAACTTACTTCTATTTTTTCCTTCACATCTTTCCAAACATTCTTTTTTTTTCGTTTTTCCTATCACAAAACTTTTGTACATAAAAAAAGTTGTTCATCGTCAACCATTGATATTCAAAGTTAGGTTATGTTCACAATACAACGAGAAAACTGTACAATAGATTTTTTTTGTCAAAACCAAAAATTGCAGAGAAAAAAAAAACTGAAAAATTTCATGACTAACATAAGTAATATTATATTTCTGTTAGCCAGGGGGGGGGGGTGCTTGTTTAGTAGGTGGTGTTGTCTTGTCAAAATTTCGGTCGTTTTTGTTATCACTTGCTCCTTTTTTCTCCTTCTTCTTTTTTTTCCGGTTCTCTTCCTACTTTTTTTTTCCAATTCTCTCGTTCTTGAATACTAATTTTTTCGCATTACACAGCTCAGATTAGTGCGTGTTTGTGTTTTTTTAGATATCTCATTAAATCACTACAAAATGGGAAATAAGATGCGAATTCATTTTTCCCAGAGTGTTAGATTACGCAATTCTATTTTTGGAGGTTTTGCTTTTGCTTCTTCTTCTTTTTGCTTCCTCTCCATTCTTTTTTTGATGGGTTGACTCTAGACTATTATCGTGTTCAAGAGCTCCCGACGGGCCATGTAATTTGAAAACGAGAAGTGGTAACGATTTTTGGGCACGCCATTCTTCTGCTCTCTCAATCTCTCTTCCATAGCCTCTTCCCAAAATTTCCAATAGTCCTGTCGTTCTTTTTATTCCAAAAGTTGTTTCAAAATATTTCAAAAAAGCCTTGTCGCTCCTCCCAATTCTCAAAATATACTACTCCGAGCAACCGTGAGCAGTTTCTTGGTAACCATGTTCCCATTCGGCCGCTTCTTCCACTCCCAACTTTCTCATTTTAATCCGAATTCGTACTAGGCCCCCTCTCCACTATGTATTCCCCGATTTTAAGACTTATGGAGCGTCGCCGCGAGCGTAAGCTCACAATCACCTCACCGAATGAGGACGTAAGAAATGTGGAGCCACCTCCACAAAAGAATCGACGAGCATCACTCAGTGTCGCTTATCATCGCCTTTTATCATTCTCATCATCGCCCATCAAGGACTTGGAACAATTGAAAGGGTGGAGACTTAGACTAGTATAACGGAACAGCTGAATAGTTCCATAATTGTCAGCTGGAGGGGATACAATTACATTAATAAGAAATATGATGTACAAAAACGTGTTTTCCTGTTAATTTTTTTTCGCCCATTTGCACCATTTACCAGGTCTAGAGCTCGGCTATCTAGTTTCCGATAACTTTGAAAGTTCCGGAGGGTTTGAAATATACCCCGATTGATACATTTGCATTAACAGAATTTTTCGAAAATTTGTAATTTTTCAGTTATTTAGCGATTTCTGAAAAACACCCTTTTCTACCTATTTTTGCACTAAACTGTGACAACAGGTGTCTTTCAGAATTCCGTGAATAGCGGAAGAACTAGAATTTTTCAAAAAATTATGTGAATTCAAAGTTTTCAATCTAGGTCTGTTTTACGCTCTCCAAAATTTTCAAAATGATCCGACGCTTGGCAGCCAAGCTCCAGAGTACTGAAAATGTTCAAAATCAATGAAAAAACACATTCTTATGGACCGTTACTGTAGCTGATACCAAAACCCAAAAATTAATTGTTCATAGATCATATTCAAATAAACAAAACTACATCACAAGGCCACCTACATATGTAAATTACCCCTCGCTCATGTTCTCTGAGCGGATTATTGCCTTTTCCAAATGAGATAGTGCATGTGACCCGTCCCACATAGCTAGTAGCCGGTTTCAAACTTTCTCTATTCAGCTAAATGCCTAAAAAATCGAAAAAGACTAGAAAGGTATGACATGTCGTTGTGTGGGGGAGTCAATAAAAATGACGTGTATTTTTGAAAAACATTAAACAAACAAAAATAAAATTGATCAGCTAACAGCGCAACCAATGGTCTGAAAAATTCAATTTTTTCTGTAATATTAAACTGTTTTTTTTCAGAAACAAAAAAAAGAATATCGAGATGAGAAGAAGCGGGTCAACGAGGAGCTCCTTTCGGCTCTTCGGGACCCAACAGTGGTTGTAATGGCAGACACACTCAAGATCCGTGGAGCTCTGAAGAAGTGGAATCGATACTACTGTGTGCTGAAGCCAGGACTTCTGATTGTCTATAAGCACAAGAAAGCTGACAGGGTGAGTTCCCCTGAGCAATTGAAAATGAAGACTTTTGAAATTTAGGGTGACTGGATCGGAACTGTGCTTCTGAATCACTGTGAACTGATCGAGAGGCCATCGAAGAAAGACGGTTTCTGCTTTAAATTGTATCACGTAAGATTTTGAATTTTTTTAATAACAATAGCTGACCCAAGTTTTTTAGCCCATGGACATGAGCATTTGGGGAAACCGTGGACCACTTGGACAATCATTTGGAAGTTTCACCCTGAATCCACTCAACACATCATTCCTTATCTGCAGAGCACCAAGCGATCAGGTCAGTTGACTTTTTTATCATTTTCAACTTGACCTCTTTGTCTCTTTGTCTACACTATTATTTCGTGGTTAGCAAATATGTTTTTTTGGGGTTTCCGAAATAACAAAAACACACAAACATAGGCATTGACTCCATCCACTAAAATTTCCATCATATCATTCAGGCTGGCCGCTGTTGGATGGACGCTCTTGAGCTTTCATTCAAGTGCACTGGACTGCTGAAAAAAACCATGAACGAGGTAATTGATTTTCTCAATGTTATGAGCTCTTGACCTCTTCTCTCTATTTCAGTTGGATGTGAAAGACGAGAGTAGCGTCATGGATAGTCAAAGGGATGAATCGAGAATGTCTCGTGACTCGGATGGAGATGACATTCGTGGAACTATCGTTTCGGAGACTGATGCTGAGAAGCATTTCCAGGAAATTGATGATGTTCCAGATGAGGATCATGAAGATGGGAAAATGTCGGAGACTAGCGACACTATTAGAGAGGCTTTCACCGAGAGTGCATGGATTCAGAGCCCAAAGGAAGTGGTAAGTAGAAGGAATTAGGGATTATGCATACAAGATTTTTATGAAGTGGTCATCTGAATTTGAATATGAGAAATTATATATTGATTGAAAAGAAAAACATTTCATAAGCAAGCTTAATCTCCGATACCGAGAATGCTCTAGAAGCCCACAGTGAATGACCAAGTCAAGCTCAATTATCTCAGTTCTTTCGAAAGATATCGAAAACTTGTCAACTGATGAAATGTTAATAATTATACGACACGCATTTTGACAGTTGACGAACTTTTGATATCTTTTGAAGGCAGAGAGATAATAGAGCTTGAAGTGCACGTTAGCTTATATTTGAGCATTTCTGGTATAACGGTAAACCCAAGACCTAAACGGGCTAAACAAATCTTCTCTCCAGTTAATTTTTTTCATATCTCAGAGTTTGAAATTAACGTCTAAAAAAATTTGCCACGACAACTTGCAATCACGTCGTCTCACATCAAAATTTTCTAAAATTCCGTTGTTTTTTCAAAATTCTACCAGTAACAAATTAATTATCTAGTGCCTCCAGGGGCAGGTTGGATCAAGAAATTTCAAACTTGACCTTTTGCAACTTCTGACTAGTATAATTCTAGAATTAAAAAAAAAGGCATCCGAAAGGAACTCTTTTTATTGTTTCAATTGTTTGAATGTTTCTGAGAAATTCATCCACCTGAAACATTTCAAAAAGTTAAAGCAATCTTGAGAATTGATTATTTTAAAAATATTCTTCTTTTTCCAGTTCGGACCAGACGGATCCCTCACTGAGGAAGTCGGAGAGGAGAACAAATCCCTTATCTGGACTCTTCTCAAGCAGATTCGCCCAGGAATGGATCTCTCAAAAGTCGTTCTCCCAACTTTCATTTTGGAGCCAAGGTCGTTTTTGGAGAAGCTTGCTGATTACTACTACCATGCTGACCTGATCGCTGAGTATGTGATTTTGTTTACAGTCCTAGTTAGAATTTTCTGATTTCAGAGCGGTTGCTGAGCCAGATCCATTTGAAAGAATTGTGAAGATCACCAAATTCTTCCTCTCCGGATTTTACAAAAAACCAAAGGGACTCAAGAAGCCATACAATCCAATTCTCGGTGAAACATTCCGTTGCAAGTGGGAGCATCCGGATGGGTCAACGACTTTCTACATTGCCGAGCAAGTATCTCATCATCCTCCAGTCTCTTCGCTCTTCATCACCAATCGCAAAGCCGGTTTCAATATCAGTGGAACGATTCTGGCCAAGAGCAAGTACTATGGAAACTCACTCTCGGCTATCTTGGTCGGAAAACTGAGACTGACTCTGCTGAATCTCGGAGAAACATACATTGTGAACCTCCCATACGCCAATTGCAAGGGTATCATGATCGGAACCATGACTATGGAACTTGGCGGAGAGGTGAACATTGAATGTGAGAAGACGGGCTACAAGACAACGTTGGATTTCAAACTGAAGCCAATGCTAGGAGGAGCTTACAATCAAATCGAGGGAAGTATCAAGTATGGAAGTGATCGGTTGGCTAGCATTGAAGGAGCCTGGGATGGTGTAATTCGTATCAAAGGACCAGATGTGAGTTGGGATTTAATTATTATTCTAAAAGTTGGAAATCAGGGATGTTCGTTAAGGATATCCGGTAGCTATTGTTAACCCGGTATTAGAAGGGTCTCTCTAATATAGTTGATCTTCGGGTGGGGCTTGAAAAAACAAAAGAGCCCTCTGTAATAGAAGGGACCTCTGTAATGTAATAGAAATTCTTCAAAGTGTGTAGTTTGAAGTTTAAAATATTCCGGAAGTTTCACAATTTCACAGAAATCTGTTGAGCTTCTCTTTTGCTCAAAACTGGTTCACTATTGGTGCCAACTGATAAATTTTCATGAATTTTGAACGAAAATTCACTACTTTTATAATTAAAATTTTCCGAATAAAATGGCTGGAAAAATGAAAGGGCCCCTGTATATTACGGTATGTGAAAAGCAAAAAAAAAAATTTTTCTGCGTTTTCAAAATTTTGTTGTCAATTTTTCACCGATGTCTGCTCTTTTATGATGGTAAAACTGGATTTGGCAATATTCCGAGATTCTGAAATTCCGGAATTTTCTAAATAGGATTATTTTGGAATATCATATTGAGATTTTGAGAACTCTAAAATTGCCCGCACTTCCAATCACCGCGAAAAATTTCAAATATCTCTGTACTAACAGTGCTAAACTAGATACTAGTGTGAACCCCCAAACATTTTTTCAATACTTTCCTAACATTTGATAAGCAACCAGAGTCTTCTTGAGATAGACGTCAATCTGCAGAAAATGACTTTCCATTAACTACTAAATATGACTAATTTCCAATTTTAAAGGGCAAGAAAGAGCTGTGGAACCCAACACCAGATGTGATCAAAACTCGGCTTCCTCGCTACGAGATTAACATGGATGATCAAAGCGAATGGGAGTCGGCTAAGCTCTGGCGCCACGTCACCGAAGCGATCTCCAACGAGGATCAGTACAAAGCCACCGAAGAGAAGACGGCTTTAGAGAACGACCAAAGGGCACGAGCTAAATCCGGAATCCCACATGAGACAAAATTTTTCAAAAAGCTCAATGGAGATGAATACTCATACATCCATGCCGAGTGAGTTGCTAGGCAATTAGGAAGAATGAATATTGTAGATTTTCAGCTATCGACCATGGGACAAGAACAACGATATCCAGCAGGTGGAGAATAATTACGTCGTGAAAACGATATCAAGACATTCAAAGTCAAAAGCGGGACCAAGTGATCAATTGGGAAGTGACAACACGTCGGAGGCCAGTGAGAGTGATGAAGAGATTGTGGAGCCAAAAATCAAAAAGAAGGTTGTGGTCCCAACGACGTCTAAACCCATCCAACCTCCAGTGCCCGACGAGAGAATCAAGGTAAGTTCAAGTACCGTAAAACCTGTATTAGAAGAGCCCTTTTAACAAATGCGCCTCTTCTATAAAAAAAAGCTCTCTGATAGTGAGACGGGTTTGAAAACACAAAAGAGTTCCTGTAAGACATAAAAAAAGGTTCTCGAAAAAGGTTTTTTGAAAATGCCTTTTTTGGAATTTTTCAAAACCTCGAAATTTCCTATGTTCAAAATTTTGTAATTTTGGAAATACGGAATTTTTCGATTTTCAAAATATCGGGATTTCGGAATCTCAGAATTTTTGATTTTCAAAATTTTCTGAGTTTTCAAATTTCGGATGATTCTGATTTTGAAAAATCGGAAGATCTCTGTTAATACAGGGCCTCTGTGATAGAAAGACCCTGCGGAAAAAGCCTACAATTTAAAGGAAAACACTGAATAGTCCTCAAAAAAAATATTTTTCTCATTTTTTGAACTCCCAAATGTACCTTAAAATCACATGTACCCTAAGAACAAGATGAATTTTTGGATACTGGGCCTTTAGACTTGTTTACGTTTAAACAAGAAAAAAATCTAGAAGAAAATGTTGAAATTGTATTAATAATCCCTTTTTTATAGGAGATGGAACACAAATTCGACCTGGCCATCCGTCGAATGGAGGCAGCCAACGAACGACAATCTGCTCGTACCATCAACGCAATCCAATCCACACTTCTCTTCGTTTTTGTAGTCACATCAGTCGTCCAGTCCATTTTCATGTTTTTCATGTTCCGTAAATCTTCTGCCTAAAACATTGCCTGGTATAATTTGTTGTTTACAACTCTCGAGTCTTCTGCTTTTTTCCATGCTACCGTTTCCTGTCCTAGTCCAAAAAAAAAAATCTATTGTCAAACACTTTCAAATTCCAAGCCCTTCCATTTCAATGCTCCTTGTTTCCCCCAGTGCTGTGCTCTTCCTTCTACCCTTTAAGCCCTTCTTATATATAATTTTTTCTCCCCACCTTATGATTTTTCATCTTCCTAATTCCCCATTCTAAATATATACTTCTTTTGCTTTGCAAAACTGCTATATTAGTATTTCTCATCTTAATCACTATGCACATTTTTTTCCTTTTCCTACTTTTTTCTCGTACTTTATTTGTATTCGTGCCAAGAGAACAATTGTGAAAAATGAGTGAATGAATGAATCGTAAATCCAAAAAGATGCATGTGTTTTTTTTGCTTTTCCCTTGACTGAGATAAATGTGAGCCGACAAGAGGAATAGAAACCAGCTAAAGGGCGGGGAAAGACTTAATGTTTTACGATCGCATTATGCTCGGACCCATTTTTTCCTCTGGTGTGTATATGAGCTGCAATTTAGGATAACAAGGTACTTAAAGGTCGATAATTTGAGGTTCAGAGAATTTTTTTTTTCCTACGGTATATTAAAGTCGAGTGTTCCCCCAGACATTGCTTTCAAAAAGTTTTCAGTATCTTTGTCTGAGCAAATCAAGCTTCTTGAAGGCGTCCAAAAGTCATTCCTGTTCCGATGTTACAAGAAGTTCAACTATCCCTATATATCCTACTTTGATTGTCTCCGTGATCACAATTTAGAATCCTTAGAGTACCGTCGAATTCTATCCAATCTAGTTTTTATGTATAAAACTCTAGTTTCCCGGGGAATTGCAATTGCCCATAATCTATTCATTGTCCCGTTTCATCATAATCATCTAAGACGCCACCCATATTACATTCGCTGTACATTAAAAAATGCTTCAATACTTTCTGCTCAATTTCTTACTCTCCGTATTATATCCTGCTGGAACTCGCTTCCAAAACCGTGTTCCCACCCTTGATTTCATCCATCTCTTTTAAAACTAATTCAAGTCATGTTAATTTAACTTCTTTCCTGTTCCTAGACGAACATAATTTCTAACTCATTTGTTTAATTTGTAACACATTGATTTTATAAGTGACTGATAGTCCTGAATCAATAAATTATTATTATTATTCTCATACAACATTCTTCCCCTTCATTTCTGAAATGTAGTAGTCCAGCCAGAGCTCACGTGACTTACAGTAATCTCCGACTCTAATACTTTTTTATAACATTATTTTTTTGTTGTCTTTCACTTCTAAGCCAGTAAAGCGTGCACAGAATGAAATATAGTCGACACAGCATAATCTTTCCATGAAGACACATAAGCAGGAAATAGGTGGGTTTGTGGAATGTTGAGTTTATTTTTCGGCATTTCTTTGTGTTCTGTGTCCCACTAGGCTCATTTTCTCAAAAATTGGAATACCATTTTGTCTGTAAGTGTGTGATTCCGTTTCATCCTCTTGAAGGCATAGTTCTAAAATCTTCTTACTGACTGATTTTTGCTCACATTTCTTATTTTTCAACAAATTGATCTCGTTTTGCAGCTCATAGTTACTTTTTCTAATAGAAGATTACCCAAACCGTCACCTTTGAGCTCAATTATCTCGATTCCTGGAGAAGATATCAACAATTTGTCAACCGGCAAATTATTTACAATATATCACCAATATTTTAACTTTCGACAAGTTTTTGACATGTTCCACAGGAATCGAGATAATTGAAGTCAAAGTTTTGGAATTATTCTATTCAAGGAAATGCGGTATTTTGTCATGTTGAATTCGTAAAAAAAGTTGTCAACTACAAAAATGAGGTTCAAGTTTTGTTTATTTTGACCTGAAATTTTCAGACAAATCGAACAATTCTGTCATAATTTTGTAGGACATTAAAATTAACAAATTTTTACTATAAAAATTTGAAACATGTTTTTTTTTGTCTGGTAAAGACTAATCCTTGACAGAATCTTGAATTTTTCTTTGCAATGACGTTGATAATTAGGCAAAAATAGCATACTAAAAACCATGTACTTTCCCGGAAAATCATTTTTCACTGTTGTCCAGTGGAGCGCGCCCAGAACCAAACACTTTCGACGGCGTAAGCTTTCCAGCACTTCTTTCAATTCGCGGAGACACTAACTTTGTTTCGAAAGAGGTCTTTCCTCTAAACCACCTTGTATGATCAATTTATCAACCGGCACTTTTTCTCAAAGATTTTAGTGATCGTCTATCCACTTCAAGGTGATTGAAAAAAAAATTCGAGATTATTCTTTCAGCTTTAGTATGATCCTATATCATCCTCTTGGAGTTCTTCTGTAGGAGTGATACTTTAGACTTCCAGTTTTTTCTTTGGTTTTCAAAAAACTACTTTTGCTTGATACTTCCAAACATCAACTTTGTTTGAGATATAGAGATTTGGTGCTCTCAAATGCAAAAAACAGCGTTACAGGATTTTGATAGGTCACATTAGGTTTAAAAAATAAACGTTTTGAAGCAACATTTGGGACAGATACCGATAACCATTATTCTTTCCGCCCAGGACAATTGGAATCAATAAAAAATCGTATCCAAATTGTGAAAAGTAAACATTCCGGGTAACAGATGTGGCCTAGAAGACTTGCCCGTCGTGGTACATCTGAAACCCTCTTCGAATATCCGCCGCACTCTTAACAGACACCTGTTACTTGTGCTTCTTCTCTCTTTTCACATGACCCCATGTGTTCGTTGCAGATGTTCGTTGGCCCTGGCACCAAGACGCTCTCGTCCCGTCTTTGGGGACAAGCCGGCCAATCTCCGCCCCTCTAACAAAGAATAAAAGTTTTGTACTATTCATTCTCCTGAAAAGCTCATTTTGCGTTTTGGATTACGTCTATTTAGGGGTATGGTAGTTTAATGAGAGCCCACTCTTTTCAGAAATTCATCTTCCCATTTCAAGAAATTAAAAGCACCATCCTTTTTTTGTTTTTTTCCGTCTCTTCTGAGTGATGATGTTTTTTGTGCTACCGTATTCCTTGGGCGGTCCGACTCCCACCTCTCCAGTTGCTACCCGAACGGAGAAGCCACGCCCACTTTTTGTCATTTTTGAGCATTTTTTGAGAAGCAGCTCGTCATTCTTCGAGATGAAAAGTCGAACCGAGTTAGTTTTTATTTCGAATTTGGAAAAATCTCCTCTGGAACTCCTCTAGCTTGAAAAAAATAAGTTTTAAATATAGCATAATCTTTATTCATAACCTCATTTTTCCCTTCTAGTTACGCCCTCACTCTCGATTCGTATGCAAAAAAACAGTCAATCTCCTTCCACTCCTACTAACCCAATAGGGTCATGTAGTCCTCATTTTTCATCCATTCCACACTCATTTCCTTGGATTGCATGTGCTTCACTCTAACACATCTCATTTTATTTCAGGGTACTGCAGATTCCAAATTTGACAACTCATCCATCTACATCAACAAAAAGCAACATCAATCTCGTCAAGACTACCTTGAACCTCGGTGAGTAGAACACGTTTTTTTTCTAGAGACACAGAGCGTAACATAATAATAGGCCAGCTCCAAAACTAGCTACAGTTCTCTGAAATCTTAATTTTCAGAAGTTTGAAAATAGAGTCACAGTCAGCATCCGAAATCAATTAAGATAAATGCATTTAGTATTCTGATTCTCAAAACTGACCAAATGACCGCCCAAAAACTGAAAACTTGGCCTGTGCAAAAAGCCACTCCAGGATGTTGTTAAAGATAGTCTTTTTATGTTACACTTCATTATGATACATTGTGATACATCATGAAACAATTGGATGGGGGCAGACATGGGCGGAATGAAAATTTTGAAAATCCGGAATAAGGAATAAGGAAGAAGGAATGAAATTTAAAAATCAGGAATAAGGAATAAGGAATAAGGAATAACAATTTTAAAATCCGGAATAAGGAATAAGGAATAAGGAATGAAAAATTTTAAATCCGGAATAAGGAATAAGGAATAAGGAATAGAAAAAACACCCGGAATAAGGAATAAGGAATAAGGAATAAGGAATTTTTTTTCGCCAATTGTTTTTTTTTCGCCAATTGCATCATTTTTTTCTGAAATTTCCCGATTTCACGTTTTTAAATTGACAAAAAAAACCTTTTCATCTAATTTCGGAAGATATCTGCTCAAATGATAAGAAGCAGAATTCGTTCCACTCGTTTTTGTCCAAATAATTTTCGCGTCACATTCTTTACAAGTTGCCTCGTTTTCTGTTCTGACGAAGAATTCGTCAAACTTGCTCCGTTTTTTAGACATTTTTTCTGAAGTATTTAGTAATTGTAAAAACCAAATTTATTTCGAAAAAACACTGAGAAAAACGCATAACTTTTCCAAGATTTCCAAAAAAAAAATTTTCGAAAAACGGTGCAAAGGTGCTCCGTTGAGCAAAATTTTACGCGGCAATTTAGAGCGTTCAAATTTTTTTTCCCAGTTTTGAGATTTTTTTCTGATTTTTGATAGAAAAATTTTTAAATTTTTGAAGAGGAATAACAAAAAAAATCAGGAATAAGGAATAAGGAATAAGGAATGAAAAATTTAAAATCCCGAATAAGGAATAAGGAATAAGGAATAGAAAAAACACCCGGAATAAGGAATAAGGAATAAGGAATTCCGCTCATGTCTGGATGGGGGACACGTGGCACCGATTTTGAGAGAACTTTCAATTCAGAAAACATAAAGCTGAAAAGGGAACGTCAACACTCTGTAAACCCAGATACTTATTAAAACCTTAGGATAGGTTAACAATAGCATAAAATTTTAGAATCCGCTTGCCAGTTTCAGCCGAGTTATGTCAGTTTTAGTGCAAAAAAAGCGATTTTTTAAAGATTTTCAACTTCTAAAGCGTTTTAGAACTTGAAATTGTTTGTGTTCTACTTAGAATTGAGCACAATTTTATATTTCAAACTTTCTCTAGAAAAAAAAACCATTTATTTGTCATTTTTCCAGCACTTGGACATATTCGAAATTTAGACAAAAAATTGAGAAAGTGTCTAACATGAGATATGTAGTTTCATCAAATTCTGAGTACAACACACAACATTTCATGTTCTAAAACGTCTCACATTCAGAAGTTGAAAGTCTCAGAAAATCGCTGCGATTCCACTGAAAACGCGATTTTCGGTACTGAGTCTAACTGAAGTAACACGGCTGGAGCTGGCCAGCGGATTCTAAAATTTTCAGACGTATTTAGATAGGCTTAACCTATCCCGAAATTTTCATCAAAATCTGGGTTCCGAAGAGTTGAGTTACTGTATCTATTTCCTGGGGGGGACACCATTTTCTGTCAATTCACAGTCAACATTTTTTGAAAATGGGGACACTTTAGTATCATTCATATTGTTTTTCATGGGTACAAGTGATTATTTTTAAAATCTATCAAATTTTAGCTTTGCTTCACTTCAATTCTCCGGGAGAAACTCTCGTAGAAAAATACGTTCTAAATCTAAGCCCACTCAAAATGCATAATCATAAAAAACCAAAATTCCGTGATACTGTAGCTGTATAGATATTTCACTAATTATATTCTAGACAATATTTTGAAATGGCGCCTCGCCATTTTCCGTTTTTCAATTATTCAAGAATTAGATATGTAGGATTTGTGTTCTTTACGGAATTTTCAATTTCCCAAATCTTGAAATGGATTAGTGCTTTTTGACCTTAAGAAGAATGAAAAGCAAAATCTAGTTTAGAACCAAACATATCTTTATATTATTTTTCTCTTTCTTTTGCTCGCAAAAATAAAAAACGAGGGGAAATTCCCCTCTGACTTCCGTTTGTTATTACTCTTCGTTCAGGTCTATTTGGTGCTGAGAGGATGCTCCCCTGCTCTTCTCCAGTAAGTTGTAGCAAATATAAATAGCTGTTTGATTTTGGTTTTTTTTTAGTTTGAAGTTTTCTTTTTTATTTCATGTGTGGAACTATGTGTTTTGTAGTTTTTACGTTTTGCATAGTAGTTTGAAAGCTTCAAAATTCAAAGTACTAGTTTTCGAGACTTGTTACTACTAGCAACATGTCAAGGTGCATCAAACGTGAGAGGTACACTAAGGCTCAGTGAATCCAACACATCACTTCTCGAACAAAATTTTGTTTAACTGTTTTGTTTTTAGTTTTTTCTGAAAAGTTGAAAAATTTTGCATTTTCATCAAAACCAGAACAACCCGACTTTGCATATTTTCAACTAGTCGGGCCAGGTTTTTTAGTACCTTTACGCTGTATTTTAATAAAATTTTTGGGTCTATAAACAGTGTCAGAAAATACAGTACCGGTCAATAAGATATACAACAACGTATTTTTGAGTTGATTTTTTTCATTTGGTCCATAAAGTCTGAAGCTCGGCCGTCAATTTTTCATTTTTTATGAAAACATTGAAGGGTGTCAAACAGAGCGACATTGAAAACTTTAAATTCACATGATTTTTGAAATCCCTAGTTTTTCGGCTATTTGCCGATTTCGGAAAGATACCTGTTTTTTTTTCATGTTTTCAGTACAAAAGCTAACCAAAAATGGTTGTTTTTCAGTAATCGGCAAATAGCTGAAAAACTATAGGTTTTCAAAAAATTTGCTGAATCTAAAGTTTTGTATCTAGTTCTTTTTTACACACTGCAAATTTTTCAAAGTAATCGAAAAATTGACAATCAAACCCAGACTTCTGAAAATGGTAAGAATGACCAAAAATCAACTAAAAATGCGGTTTTTTCTGTTGGAATCAGTAATTATTTCAAGCTTATTTTCCCGAGCAAAAACTTCCTGATCTTAAGCAGTTACTGTAGTACTCATATCCGCAGCCAAATGTCGTACAATTCATACCCTTTTCAATTTTTGAAATGCTATTTTCTTTAGTCATGACATTTTACATCAATTTGAAATGCAAGGCTTTCATAGCTTTACGAATTGATATTCAATAAAAAATTCGATACAGTATACAGTAGTCTTCAAAACCCCAAATGTTTGAAAACTCTTGTCCCATAAAAAGCGGAAAAAATATTCCAAAAAAATCTGTTCTCCAAATACATTAGACTGATGTCCTTTTTAGCATCAACTCATTTTTTTCAACTATCCACTTTCGAACTCATTTATCCTGAGTGCCCACGCATTTTATTGCCGTTTTCTCATCATGAGTTACGGTGGTTTAATGGCTGTACAGCTCCTACGCAATTCCCACGAAACGAGACTACTCCCATTTTTTCGTGATTTTAAGACTTATTTAAAAATTGGAGTTAGATGATTTTCGGAATTTCAGTCAATTCTTTTTTTTCAAATTAGATTTCTAAAAAATACCACAAAACCTGGGATAGAAGGGACCTCACACTGTCAATACGGGGCTAACTATATGCAAGATATCAAAAGTGTTTCAACGAACAAGAGGGTAATTACGACATTCGGAACATTTAATCAGTTGATGACGTTTTGATATCTTTGACAGGAAGTCAGATAATTTTGTCTAAATTGGAAAGTAGGGGGCCCTTCTATTACAGGTTTTACTATATTCGACAACTGATGATTTCTTTGAAAAATTAATAACGTTAGCAAATGCACAGATGTTGCAAACTCATCGCAGGCGTTTTCTTATGACTTGAATTTTATATTCCTCCCTCTGAAAGCAAGATGTTCTTACTGAATACACATCACAGAATTATGAATGCACTTTCTTGATTATTCCTCATATAAGTACACAGATTTCCTGAAAAAGTTTCAGCAAGAGAAGGAGATGCCGGTAGAGCGTGTTCCGACGCCATGCCCGACGATTCGGAAAATGACTCCTGCAGCCGAATATCATGAGTATGCAGTAAGTTTGTCTGTCCATCATTTAAACTAACATTTTTTCAACTTACAGACAAAGTTCCTCAGAGATTTCACAAACTATATGGTTAAAGAAAAAATGTGCATGAAGCTTCTCATGTTTGTCTATGCAACAATAATGTACTCGCTTGTCTTCTTCATTGAAGGAGACTCTTTCAAGATCCAAATGGTATGTTGGCTTCAAATCAGCTTTTAAACTATAACTTTATTTTAGGATGGAGTTCAAATCTGCTCCTCCATCGTCCTTACCGAAATGGCATTGGGAGCTTCTTTGACAATATCCACTTATGCCCTTTTGTACAAACGTGCGGTGGCAATGGCTCCACTCCTCTTCTTTCAGTCTGTCGTGTTAATGTACGGATTCTCTCACTACTTGGTTCCATTTCTCGATATGCAATATCGCGTAGCTTTGATGATTTTCGGTATACCCTCTAATTCGAAACGTTATGCATAGACTTGTTTTTCTTCAGAGGAGGATAACACTACCGGAACAGTCTTGTGGACCTGCTTCAGACTTTTAGTTCTTTTCATCAGCCGTATCTTCCCACTCATCATTCAACTTGGCTTTACGATTTTCACCATCAAGATCATTTTCTGTCTTATGCTTGTTGAGGTGAGTCTCACTTTCTAGAAACTCCTGGATATTATTGGAATTCATTCAGAACGTCGAATCCCGCATCTACCTTCCATACCACCGATCCACCGTCCCAATGAACTCCCGTGTCTGGTCCTCAATCCGTCGTAAGATCTCGGTTCGCCAATTTCAAGACAGCTCGACCCAAACTCTAGCTGGAGCTCTCACTGACCCAGAATTGGTTTCTGAGATGTCGGCTAAATTTAAGGGGGTCCGGTTTCCCCAGGCCCTGGTCCACCAGGAGGACCTTTGTTAATTTTGGAATGCCTCTTTTGTCCAAGGAATTGATGTTGCTGCTTTTTCCTGCTTTTCTTCATTTTGCGCACATTGAATGTACATAATTGCAAGCAGATTATAGAATTTTGAGCCTAAAATCTCATCATTCTGATAAAAATTTCGAATGATGATATTCTTTTCTTCCAATTTCTTAATATGTTTGCACAGTCCCCTTCTTGCATTGCCTTGTACAAGCTTGCCTTCTACGGTATTTGTTTTTTTTCTTCTAACTATAATAATATTTTTCTAACTATATAAATATTTTTCTAACTATAATAATTTTTGCATCTCTCCGGTTTCTGTCCCTATTTTCTCTCTAATCAACTCTGTATTTATTTTGTATTTTTTTTCAACCGGACCTTTTTCTCATGTACCTGCTCTTTTCTTATCTCTTTTCTTCGGTTTCGCCGTTTCGATCTTCAAATAACATTTGAAAACTCAGTCTCATGTATTTTACCCTGCTTTTCTCGTTTTCGCCAAACCGCCTTACCCCATGATTCCTGGACTCCTTTTTTTCCGATTGTTCTGTTTCATGTGGTATCAACCTAACCATTGCTTTGATCTGTTGAGTTGGTTTTGCAGAAATGTGAATAAATCTTGTTGCACCAAAGCTGACGTTTTTATCTATCGACTTTATTGAACGCTGCAAGCTCGATTCACATAATGAACAGGTGATTTCTCAGGAGAGGTAGAGATCTGAATACATAAAACGAGAGAGCAACAAAATATAAAGTGGATCTAAGCTTTCCGAGGGAGTAAATAAAAGGAGAAATCGTGATATGATTTTGGGACGATGAAAGAATGGAAGGTTACACATCATATTTACGAAAGTTTCAAAGGGGACGCGTTTACCAAAGTTTCAGATAAAGGACAAATAATTTAAAGGAACGGAGATTCAAGAAAGGGAAGAAAAGCACAAATTGTACTTGCTCGGAGACTTGAAAAAGGAGTGCAGGAACTATGAACATGAGAAAGGGAGGAAAATGAGATTCTTAAGTTTTTGGTTTAGATCTTATTGGGGAAATTGAAGGCTCTTCTGAAAATAATCCAAAAGAAAAGTGGTAAGGGAAGAGGAAACAAAAAAAAGAAAATGATAAAAAAGAAAAATGGAAGGGAAAAAAAAAATACAAAAGCATATATTGCACACTTTGCCGGCCACATGGAAGAGGGTTAGATGATGAAGAAGATTTGAAGATTCTGAAAAAAAACACATTTTGTTTAATTTGATTTGAATGGTTGGTTCCCTGGTTTTTTGAGCAGCTAGCCTGCCTAAAAAGAACAATCGTGCTGTGACAGGTCAAGCAAAAAACGATCAGCTTGCGTTCTTTATCCCTCTTCTTTTTGTCTACCGTCTCCTATACAATTAACCTTGACTCGCACTAATTGGTATGGTGTATTACCCCCAGACAGATTATCGCCGGTTCAATGGCCGCGGGTTAGACTGGCAAACTCACTATTACTGGGCAATTATCATGCCGGCGGTGGAGTTGAAGAACTTGATGGCACCTAGGGCGCAGCCGTACTCTCCACAGTCTTCGTTCTTGATGATATCGACGGTGATACGTCCTTTGGCGTTCTTGGAGCGGATGGTGAAATAAAGTGAGTCGATTTTAGTAGTACAGTTCTCAGCTTTGACTTTCAATTCATCGAGAAGTCCTACATCGAGCTTGAGATATCCGGTAGTCATTGGCGCTTCAAATATGCTTGTTTCAGAAGATTTGATAGATGGGCACATGGTGAGAAGAAGGTTGACTTTGGAGGTATGAGCGTTGGTAAGGCGAACTCCAATTCCATGGTCCATAGTTCCAAGTGGGATGGAAACTGTGTATGAGGACTTTTCTAAAAATATAAATTTTGAGGAAAACGAAATTTGATACAAAATTCTCAAGAAAGCCGTTTTGAAAACAGATAAGATCGTTCTAAAACCGTTCTTCTTGTGAAGTTCTATTTTACCATTTGCCGAGTAGGTTCCTCCATTGTTTGGTACTGCTTGACGGAAGTTGTTGATCCTCAGAGTTATAACATCATCAAGAGTTGGGTCCGAAATGTGAACATAAAGTCCATACTTTGCGGTGTTGGTACATTGCTCAGACTTGGTCAGACGATACAAATTAGTGAGATCTCGGTACCGAAAAGTTTTCTTTCCTCCTGTGATGTTGAAAGAGACTCCACGATATTTGTGATGTTGGCACTTGGAGAAAGTGATGGTTGTGGTGTCGTTACGGTTGAACTCAATGTCAAGGGTCTTGTAGATGTTATAGAAGGCTTCGTGGAGAAGGACATTGATGTCGACCTCAAGCGGCTGAATTCCCATCGGATCCTTTGGAATGATCTCAAATGGGCGGAATGGTGAGGAAGCGATGTTCTCTGGAGGCAAATTCTCGAATGGAATATTATTCGGGTGAGTTTCGTAGCTTTGCTCCGACAATACCAATCCGAACGTTCCAGCGGTGGGTCCATTGTGTGTTTCGAAATGGATGTAAGCCTCTTCCTGTGAAATGTCTTCCATCTCGCTGCACTTTTCTGATGATAAAAGTCTGGTGATCCTTTTCATAGTCATCAAATGCAATGCCGTCTCCCCAGGTTTCACGTTTCCAGCGATAATTTCTCTTCTGGAGTGTCTACACTTGCTGATCAAAATCGCGATTGGGCGGTTGCTGCGGAGTGAGATCACAATTTTGCGATTCAATTGAGCAGCTGAAAATGTCTTATTTGAAGTTATCCATGTTAAATTTCTCTGTCTATTACCTTCATCAAACATTGCACCCAGATTCATTTGCTTCGTGATCAAGCTATCGTTGGCAATAGCAAAAGACACCCTTGGGAAGCTCGACTCCGCTCTTGGAAATCTATCTTCACTCGTTTCAATCAAACTGAAGCATACTTTTCCCACGGCTGCTTCTTCGTCAGTGATGACGTGCAGGTACAATGCATCATCTTCATCAGAGGTGTCACAGGGTCGTCTCATTGACAATGACATGTATTCTAAGAGATCGGTGTGGTTCACAGAGAAGTAATTGGAAGTCGAGTTTTTGGCAATCACAATTCCACCTCTCTCCGGAGTCTTGCATCGCGTCAATAAAAGAGTGACTGGTCCGGTTGTGGTAATGTTGACAGCAAGCTCAACCCCTTGATGCTTGACTGGAAATTATGAATTATGGATCTTGAAGAAAAATGGATAGCCTTACCAACAGTAGCCTGGTCAATATATTCCTTGATATCAGCCGAGAAAAGCACCGCAGAATCATTTTTCAAATCAAAATAAAAGTTGATTCCTTCAAGAGTGGTTCCACTGTTAGGAAGAAGTCGTTTAAATGGCTTGTTGGCGTCGTCAATTTCTCCCTTTTCCAAATATCTCTGGCATCCATAGATATTAAGAAGTCCAATGATTGGTTCCATCCCATAAGTCTCAATCTCAATGCTCCACTGATCTTTACCGCTTTTCACTGGGGCGTGAAGCATCTTGGCGAGCAATGCCTTCTCGTAATTAGAGAAACTGTACACGAGATCACTATTCAAGACGACAGTGATATTTTGATGGACTTGGCTCTTGGAGAGAGTTAGCCTCAATAGACTGTCTCCACTGTACTTGAAGCACATTGTCTGGCGGAAGTCGACAACAGCTGAATTTTATTTAGTTGTTATTCGGATATGGATACCAAATCATTTGCATTAGAGGATCAATAAAAACTACCGTAAAAACTCTATTAGATAGACACTCCTAACTGAATGCCAGCCTCTAATACAGTGCCATCCTAGAGCACCTAAGAACAATATAGTGCCAACCTCTAATATAACGCCACTGCTGATTTGAAGTCACTGTGTTAAAAAGTGAAGAATAACAAAAATAATCATTTTCTGGTTTCTAGCTTTTTTTCACGATTCAAAGAGGAACTGCATTTGTCGAAAATGTTTCAGGATGATATCAGACTCCGAAAGTTAGGCAGGCTCTAGAAAAAAGTAGAAAAACTAAGAAAAACTTGAAAATCATTTTATGAAAGAGTTGAAAATAGAGTATTTCTGTGATGAGTTCCCGTTAAAAATGCCTCCGAACAATAAAGTGACAGCCTTTAATTAAATGTTACCCTTAATACAGTGGATTTTAAAAAAATTTCATGACAGTTTTCATAATTATCGTGACAACACCTCATCTAATTTGAATGTCAACGGAAAATGTACTTCTGATTCGAATGGGGATTATTTGTATATCTAATGAGGGAGACAATATTGAAATATTAAAGTGCACATTTTATTCAGAAGTGCTGGGAAATTTCAGGATTAGATGAAAATTCGCTCAACCTAAGACAGATTATGTTCAACGGGTAAAAGTGCTCTTTTGATAAGTGCATTATATTTCTTCTTGTGTTGACCGCACGGGAAATGCAAATTTTTGTCTAGATATTATATAAGAATCAAGGTAAATTTTGATATTCTGATTTAAAACTTCATTGAGCATTTTCCAAAAATTGAAATTCAATAAAAACTTACTATGAGACTGAACTTATGTTGTTTGATCCTTTCAATATAAACTACCTTAAACACTCTTATAAATTGCCACCCAAAGCGTTAGCTGCTCTGAACCCATATATCTCAATTCCTGAAAAAGATATCAACAGGCAGTCAACAGACAAAATGTTCATCATAATATTAAATATATTTTGTCAGTGGACAACTTTTTGATATCTCTCACAGGAATTGAGATATATGAGCTTACAGTAGTTACGTTATGTATTCCAACATGACTAACCTGCATGAATAGTGTGATCCATTGAAATTGGGTGTCTCTCAACCTTTCCTGACTCATGTCTGAACCGAATCGATGTTCTACGATCATTCCAGGTTTTGGTTGTTGGCTTGCAATAGGGGTCCAGCCGGAAGAAGAATCCTTGATGTGGGAGTGGGAACTGAGTGATTGTGCATGTACATTGGAACAGTGTCATAGAACCTTTGAATGTCTTTTCACCGCCAAGGAGCTTGATTTGCAAACTGGAAAAGAGAGCAATAATTACCTGAAACCAATTGATTTTCTAAACTCACTGTGTGGCATTACAATAGTCGTCTTTTCCGTATTCTAGGGACTGTTGGATAATAGAACGATTCAAAGGAACAATCATTGTATCAAGAAATCCAAGAGATACATATTTTCCGCATCCACCGATTCTGACCTCGGTTGGTCGCGCTACAGTTAGATTCATGCATACCGTTGGCTCTCCGCTTCCGAAAAGAGCATAGATAGTTTCCAAAGGGTATTTATAAGTAGCTGGGGCATCTGGTGACAACTCGAAGTGCTCTCGGTCGGTTATTCTAAAAGAACAACCGAAACCGATCAGCCATAAGGCGAGCACTAAAGAGAGCCACACAGATGCCATCGGAAGCTATGAATGCCAAACTGCTTCCCAGTCGTTGTTGGTGAAGGGGGCGGAGCCTGGACGACCACGCCCATACGGATTTTCTGGGGGCACGAGAGAGAGAGAGAGAGGGAGACGGAGAGAGTGAGAGGAAAAGGCGGAGTTCTGTGTGAGTGTGAATGCCTTTTGAAAGAGAAAAAGCCAAGGCTGATAGGAAAAGCTAATGAGCATTCACTCTGGAAATTGAGACGTGAGCAATGGGAGTATATGAACAGAACTTTCTAGAACATAAAACATGGGAACAAGAGGATTAGCAATACTTCGTATGACTTTCATCGAAGTGTATAGCTTGGGTGTGTGAGTCAGTTGATAGAAACATTCATTTAGCAGACACATCTGAACCGTTGAAGCTCTGAAAGTATTTTACAAGAATCAAAATTAGTTATTGGTAGAGTTTGGTGTTCCAAATGAAACTCAGAAATGGTTTGGCTGCATTACAACCTTGAAATAGATAAAAACAAGAGTACGATTCACCTAGCCACAAATATCCATAATAGTTCACTCTAATTTTATTTGCATTTGAATTTCCCGCCGTGATCCCCACCCTGAGAGGTTTATGACGGCAGTGTAGATATGCCACAGTGTAAATTCTCTCCGTCTAGACTTTTTGTGTACGAGGGGTTGCAAAGAAGCATGAAACCCAGAGAAGAAAATTGCGAGGCGGCGAGAGAATGAGACTAAAGTCCAAACATCTTTTGCCCCTGACGATTTAACTGCGTGGAAATTGATTTTTTCCATCATTACAAGGGCGCTTCAACACCTTGTAAATCCAAATTCTAATGGAAAAGTCAGGAAATGGTAAAGATAACCTAACTAGATTTCAGAACATTTTCTTCTTTCTATTTTCCAGATTTATTCGAAAATAGCTGAAATATGAAATATCATTTAGTTCTGAGTAGAAAAAAAAAACAACTTTTATGTTCTGAAATGTTCTAGAAATTGAGAAAATCGTGTTTGAAAATTGCAATTTTGCTCTGAAATGGCGATGTTTCCTACTGAAATTGAAACAACTCGGCTGAAACTGGCAAGCGGATTTTAAAATTCCGAGGTATCTAGATAGGGTATTCTCAACCTCTCCTGAAAATTTTAAAAATAAAAATCTGTGTTAACAAGATGATGAAGTTTTCTTGCTAGTTAATTAAAGTTTCGAACGAAACCAGTAATTTAGCGTGAGTTTGAGTGAACCCCGGGCAAAGTTCGCTATCATCAAAGTTCCGATTTCAAAAATTTTGACAAGTGTACTCAAATAGTGCATAGTATTAATGACACAATCCTAATGATAATCAGATTCAAACGCATTTTTCACTATACACTTTCAACGAAACCAACGTTTTTCATGGTCTTATCTCATTTCGACGAGAAGGCAAAAACGATCTTTCTCCTGTCCGACACACTGGGCGTTTATAATATTTCTTATCAGTTTCTTCCTTTTGTTTGAGTGGCAATGAACAGACAGTTTGAAAACGGCATGTTCTTTGGGTAGAGTGATCGCAAGTTGGATGATGAAACTTGGTGAACAGCAAACACCAGACGAGAAATTGAAAAACGGATTTTCGAAATAATTATCTGAATGTGTAGGTTTCAAAATGTCTCATTCTCTTTCAATCTTGACGTGGTTAGTTTTAAGAGGAGTGCAATTTATTAATGTTTTTCTAGGCAGCCCATTTACCCCAGGTAGTGTATGATCCCAATGAGTTTTAGAGCATTTTGAGCATTCATCCTTCCGTAAAACTATTCACATCCATTCGGTACTCTTTTTTCCATCACTATTGTACTCTATTTCTTTTTGATCCTCAAGCGATGGACAAAGAGCTCTCCATTTACCCATCCGGCAACCGTTTTCAAATTGTCCCTCATAGTCGGAGACACAAAAAGCGCACACTGTCCTTCACATTATGTGAATGAAAATGTACTATACCGTAGAGGACATAAAATGGCATTGACATAAAATTGACGTTCGGCATGATCTTGGAATTTTTCGAAACGAAAAAAAATGAAAAAAACGCGTCAAATAAAACGAACATTTGTTTTTTTTATCTGCCTCCTTAAATATGAATCAGGTTACGAAGTTGGCAAACTTTTTATTAAGCATTGTAGTTAATGTTACTCGTTGAGCTTGCACTCAGATAAGAATAAAGTTCCCGCCGGGGGGGGGGGGGGGGGGTTAAGGGAAGTTCCTGCCGCAGGGTAGCGGCAGGGACTTTTTTTAGTTTGCCGGCATGGACTTTCATGCCGGCAGGTAAATGCTTTCTGTTCTTTCCCCCTTCCTCTTCCAGGGCTTTTTTCATGAAAATCAAATGAGAATATTAACAAAATATAAGTTTTTATTATCAAAAGAAATTATTCTTATCTAACAACACTGGGGGAGTAACGAATGGGGCAGAAATAAGTGTTTCCATCAAACTGGATTGATAGGAAAGTAGATAAAACATCAGAAGTGGGGATCAATGTGAGACCAACTAGGTTAGTGCATTTAACTATAAGAGAGTCACAATTATTGTCAGCAAAAAGTTTAGTTGACCTAGCCAAACGTTGCGTGTTCCGAGCTAATTTTGAAAAATCAAGTCTTAGAGCAGCTGCTGATCCATATTCTTCTATGAGCACGTAGACCTGGCCTCCTCGAATCATGAATAAGCATACAGATCCGAATCCTCTAGTATTTCTCCTTTTTCGAAATGTCATCAAATGCATTTGACTCTTCTGCGGACCCGGATGCGAAGATGATGTAGACTGGAACGGCTGATTTCGCACAAGAGCTCGATAACTGGAAAAAGATTCCAAAGTCAATGAACAAAAAATTCAGTGGTAAACATACTAAATTAACGATGAATCTTTGATGAATTCGTTCCATTCGGGGCTCCGCATTCGAATTTCTGTTGCTGACCACTCCCACTTTGAACAAACTTTCATGGTTTCAGCGATCGCGTACGTCTTTGAAAACCTGTATCACTATGAGTTATATGATTAATCATCTATCTTCAACCTAGGAACTCCGTTCTTCAACGACATGAGTTCGGATACGATTCCATTTGTTGAGACGTTGGATTTCAGGGATGAAAACCTAGTCCTTCTTTTGCTAGTCCTGTAAACAAAGTAATTTTTATAGATATTCTGAACCTTTCGAGACATACTTATAATTTCGTGTGTCACATCCGCTGGCAGCTCCTCATATCCACTCTTTGTGTTGCGAGATGTCCGGATTGTAAACTTTCTGATGTTCTCCGGTGGTGAAGTTATCTGGAAGCATATGAATTTTTGGTTGTTTTAAACATAAACCAGAAATAACTCACATTTATCAGAATATGAGTCATGAAAGATTTGACAATCTTCTTGGCATTTTTCTCTTTTACCATGTATCCTTGAATCCATTCGCCGGAGACCTTTAAAATGTTCTCATTAATCTTTCTGTTTTTTTTTTTGCAATTTTACTCGAAAATTGACATCATTTAGTTTCCAAGAGCCGATCTGGAATAAATAATTTAAAATCCTGAATTCTCTATATTGTTTTGTTCACCGGTGAGGGTAGTTGTGAGGGTATTTCCAGATTTGTTGAGGGTAGTTCCCGATTTGTCGTTTTTCGAATGAGATCCTGTAAAGTTTTTTTAACTGATAAATTATGGTATAAATACCTGTTGGAGGACACAGATCCATTGTTGCAGAAACGACCGCGAGGTGTTTGAGGAGTCATTTTGGGATATTCTGAAAAATATAAAGAAATTTGCAATGTCGGAGCAATACTTTTTCTTTTCAGAATGTACACAGTGTCGGAACAAATAATTTTATATACCTCGTAAAAGTAATTTAGTAAAATAATAGACATAATCAATTTTAGCTTTAAAACAAAATAATAAAATATGCAAATTAAAATCCCGGCGAGCGGAGTGTCGTTTAGCCCGCCGGCAGGTACTTTCTCCTGCCAGAACTTCAATAGCCTGCCGGCATCCTTCTCAACCCCCCGGCAGGAACTTTGTTCTTTTCTGAACAGGTATTCTTCTTGATGACATGACGGGTCCCGCCATTTGGTCATCAAAAAGATTTCTGACTAAAAAAGTGAACAATTTAAGGTTAAAGTGATAAAGATTCGCATTGAACCCAGAACGTTCCATCTTTCTGCGTGATCTTTCTCGAACAAAAAGTGCATTGTTATTTCTGACTTCTGCCGTTAAAGTGCACCGTTTAATCATATGTGCACAGATTATACGACTATACATTTCACAATCTCAATTAATCTCAGAGCTGAAAAGATACGATTTATCGTGAAGTACATGAGGCTCATGAACAATATCAAAATCTCTTGTAGTTAGGAATACTGAACCTCAAGTGTTTGTTCCCTTTTCCACAATTATCAATGCACTTTGATAGGAGTTCTATTCTGATAGTGGCTTAGAATGGGAAAATATAAGTTCAGTCGAAATTCGAAGAATTTGAAAAACGATGAAGACGAAAATGCAAAACAGTCCAAAGAAATAGGCTGCAAAGAATTAATTTTAAAAAATCTATAAACTTTGAAAACACTTGGAGTTTAAAAGCACTAGACGACAATTTCGCTATTGCTCCGACATTTTTGAATAAGCTTTCGGCCGCTGGGTTCATAGTTGCCGGACAAGAAACCACCAAATTTTCAACTTTGAAATTATCCTAGTTCCTGAGAAAGATAGAAGGCCACCTAAACCGTCAACTGTAAGCTCATATATCTCAGTTCCTGTAGCAGATATTAAAAAGTAATTGACTGATGTAATATTTTTGATATTGCGGTGAACATTTTGCCAGTCGATCAGTTTTTAGTACCTTTCACAACAACTGAAACATAGAGGCTCAAAGTTTGAAAGTTTGGGGACGTTCTGATAGAGTGCTCACGGTATACGAAAATTGAATCCGAAAATAATTTGATTAGTAAAAGAGGCCAGCTAGAAATCGTCTACAAATCCCAATTAATAGTTTTGAAACATCATTTCAAAACTTCTTCTACAAAGTTAATTTCTCTCCTCACATTCATGCCAAGAGTTTTCTTTCTCATCATTCAACTAACTACGAAATGACTGAAAACCTTAAACCTGATGTTTCAGTTCAGTTTCAATAAAACATGAATGGAAAAGTGGAAGTTCGAACCGTTTTTTTTTCATTCGAACAGAAGCCAAATCCATCCCAAAAGCCTTCATTTCGTAGGCCTCTCAACCTGTCCTCCACCAGTCTGACTGTCTTTCCGACTCATTCATTTTGACCTTCAGACGCTTCTCCAAACGTCGGCGCTCCAACAAGTTTTTACCTCTCTCTTAGTTCTGCCAACTATTTTTTCGTTCTCAATGCACTTTGAAATCACCAATTTTTCACTTTCCACCGATAGAAATGTCATTCTGCACTCACACACGATACGACGACCACCCGTACAGAAAACCTTGAATGGAAACGAACAGGTTCATATTGGGTCAGTTGAAAAATTGGTGTTTTTCACCACCAGAACTACATAAGTGTAAAAGTCAGAAACAGTCTAAATCAGATCCGTGCCATTGTAACAGAAATTTTTGATTCTACTGACATGAAAGAGAAATGTGAGACAGCCATGGAAAATTAAGAAAGTTCGTGAAAAATGTAAAAAAAAATTATTTCTGATATCCGTGATCCGTCATAGGAATGTGCTGAACAGAACATGAAATTTCAGAAATAAAAAATCCTGATTTGTTTTTAACTTGCTCACAATTTTTTAAAATAAGATTAGATGCCAAACTTTCCTTTTTTCAGGAACTGAAATGTTATAACCCACACGCTGTTTCAAACAATTAGAATACTGAAGTTTTCAAAACACTGAAAATGATCGTTTTCACACCTGAAATTGATCGTTTTCAGCTCCATTTTCAAAAACTACGTACGTTATTGAAATTTTTGAATTTTCGGGTTCTTTTTAAAATAGTCCAGTCCGGATACATATTTATTCAGAAAGTGCAATCATCTGAAATTTTCAGTTCTAAAGGATTAACAATTTAATTGCCATTTCACTTCCTCGTTTGTCATTGAATTATTCAAAACTGAGAAGATCAAACACTCAATGGTTCCGGGAATATTCAAAATGGGAATGCACTTTGAATTGAGCTTGAAATAATTCCGGGTTTTTTTTTTTGGATTCATTTAGATCACGGAATTCTAAAACTAGAATTGAAAGATCTTTGAGATTTTAAGAATATCGAGGAGATAACTAGAAACAACACACTCCAGCAGTCGATCCAGGAATTCAAATTCTTCGTAAGATTCAATACAAGAAACATGGGAAGAATTGCCTGTTTGAATAGTCCGACTATTCTCAAAGTGCAAATCTGTCACTGTCCTGTAGTGTGCAAATGCCTGTCATCAATTTCCTTCCACACATTTGCACCTCATTGTGCGGTCCCCAGAAAACGGTCGGTGTCTGTGGCACACATCGACCTGGCACTGTTTAATGACCCATTGTTTGCAAGCGGGACATTTGCCGATTGTATGACCCGCCGCCCAAAATCAATGGTTTTCAAAAGGACAGCCGTCTGTCAAAAAAACCCTTGAAAGCGGGCGGGGGATCAAGCAACCGAAATTATACTCACTAGGTGGTCGTGAAATCGTTTTTTTGAAAGCGACGTTACCCTTTTTTATTACCCAGCAGAAGGTGGTCTGCCGATCCACAGTCGTTTCAAATGAAATATTTTCTTTCGTGTTCAACATTTTTAGCTAAAGAGGACTTTTTAAAAGTGCACTCGAATTTGTGTTGGATATCGGAAAAGTGCAAAAAACGGCTATGAAGCAGGAGGAGATTAGACACGGCTACGTACAAACGCGGCCGTTTGGTTTTCGATCGAAGAGGGGTTTGAAAAGACCGAAATAGCTCATGCTATTCACTGGATGCATAAGACACAAGTGAGAAGCAGGCTCACGCTAATGCACTTTACAGAAAAGAAACATACTCAAAGTAGGTTTTGGCAAAATGAAAAGAGGGATTTAAAAAAGTGGAAAGAGAATGAATACGGCGCGCCATGGCACGAGAAGAAGCAGGGCGAGGGAGCCTGGGAACGGAAAAAAATCTAATAGAAGGGAATTTATCGTTGCAGACATTTTCTCAACAAGTTATCTTCCATACAAATAAAACGCTAAACGCGTAGGTACAGCTCGTTGTCACTCTGTCCGCTTTTGAAAAACTTGAAAAATAAATCTAAATTGACGTGACCCTTTATTAAGAAGTGAGGAGCGAAGCGACAAACTAGTAAATACTTTGCTGGTTCCAAAATAAAATTTTCGAAATTTTTTAGTTTCAGAAATTTCGAAAAACTCAATGTTGGAACTTTCGGAACGTCTGAAATTCAAATACTTTCGAATTTGTTTTAGTATTTCAAATTTTGCTTCAAAAGATGTCAGCTAAAAACAAAAGAATTATTAATATCGGGAATAATCTCTCGATATACCAGTAATCCGAGAACTTACTGAGCAGAATGTTTGGTCATTCGCACACTATTGGATACGAAATCACATACAGACTGTACTGAAACCGTGAAGGTCTCCGAAAACCACAACAAACCATAATATTTAATCCTTTTACCGGAATTTTCACAATTTTTGAAAGCGCTAATTCAAATTTATTAATAAAGAATACCTGAAAAAACTGTATTTTCTCTAATGAAAGCATACCCACACTATTAACTTTGTAATCAATTATATCGATTTCTGAGAGAGACATCAAAACTGTGTAAACTTTCAAAATATGGGTGATATTATGATAAATAATTTGTCAGTTGACAATTTTTTACATCTGTTACCGAAATCAAGATAATTGAGCTCAACGTTGACATTTTGGGTGCGATTTTATGAAGGGAGATACAGTATTAAGCAAAATGTTAATAAGGAGATAAAACAGTGTCCTATTCACAAAAAAAAATGCAAAAAATTCATGTTCTGATTGGGGGAGACAACTGTACACTGAAGATATCTCAGTGGGCGGTTGAAACTAGAAACCAAAGCAAAAGGTGAGGATCTCCAGATCAAATGGTCAATTTTTTGGGTGAATAAAACACGGAATACAAAAACAATGTAAGACAGTAGAACAGGATACAAAGCTACAATCGTTAACAAACGAAACAAAACAAAAAACAAGATAATCTGAGATTTGGACAAAAGTTAGTTCATTAGTAAATCTCCAGGGGGGAGCGGGAGTGTGATAAATTATTTCAGAAGTTGCTTGGATCATATAAGTGACTTGATCGATTAAACACTGAAAAAATATACTGAAAAAATGATTGCAATGCTCTGTCCATTTATAGATTTCCCTGAAATCAGTTATGAAAAATTATTCAGTCCCTCACATCAGACTAATTGTCATTTCAAGTTTTTTTTCCGCCTCATACGATGAAAAGCTTCTCAAAGCTTACCGTAGTCCTCAAAGAATCAATTTCCCTCCATTTCTTTCTCGTTTAGTTTTCTAATTTCAATGTTTTTAGAGATCTCTCAATTTTAATCAGCACCAATGTGAAAAAGTAGGTCCCATGCTTCTGAACCAATCATTGTAGATCGGTGATTTTCCGAACTCCCAACTTGAATCGTTTTTCAAGAACACCAGTATGTTAGCCGTGTTTGCGGCAAGATTGTCTGATTTAGATTTCCAAATAAAAAAAAGAAGTCTGATTTAGATTTCCAAATTTAGACATACAATTTACGAATTATCAAACATCTTACGAC